ATATTTTCAATTTTTTGTATTTATAAGATCTAAGATAGGGTTACACATTTTTCTTGAACTAGCATTAATTAGAGACTTCCATAAAACGGTCGTCTACCCTTATGATGTTCTGCGAATAACTAAAGAATTCTTAGCTCTTTTCGTCCAAATTAAGACAGTATGTCTTGCCGACTACATTAACCTAAACTCGAAATGATTTTAACAAGCTTCATAACAACGGAAATCATCCGTTGTTTTATGGTTGGAATGATTCACGAATCTTTTCGTCATGCTCGTTCAGATATAATAAATGTCTCATCAACTTAACCAAATAATATAAAAATAATATATTTTTATAATGTTAATTTATCTTATAAAAATAATACTTATATATTTATGCGTAAAGCATTTTATTTAGCTTAGATTATGTGTAATTAAATACTTTTATTAAATTAATTGTCTTATTCCGATCCCGCACTTAATGGCGGCATCTCGCTTTTCTTTACTATCATTTATTGTTTACACCATGCTTTCACATTTTCTATTAGTCTTCTGCTGTGTATTTTCAGTTAATGCATTCACTCCTGTCACTCTAGAAGGATGTGAAATAACAAAAGGTTGCATGAAGCCGCCAATCTGTACTGATGAACGGTGCTCTTTTATGGCAACCTGGATGATTGTCGATGTCGGCGGTAATCTATATGTTGAAATTGAATTAATGGGTGATGTGAAATCTCAGGGTGGCTATGTTTCACTCGCGTTCTCAGATGATGATGAAATCGTAAGTGTTTTTAGTATAATGAGTTAATTGGGTTTCATGATTACCTCGTATGCCTCGTTTTTTGCTTGTTATGCCTTCCAAATATTATAATATACTGTTTTTATTTTATCATTAAATATACTATTTTGGTTAATCGAATGAGCTTCTCAGTTTACTTTGCAGATTTTCCTTTAATTGCTCTTAATTAAATCTGTGCCTCTTTTTAACCATAGCCTTTCTTCAAATTTTGTAGCCATATAAATCAAAACGGTATGGATTTTTGTGTATCATCAATACTTTACCCTCACCTAATTTTGATTTTCCCACGTTTTATCACCTAAATCCTGTCGATTTGGGAGTTCAGAGAACGCCCTTCATTTTTTACTGCTCCCATATTATTCATTATATTTTTCTTCCACCAATGTTTCCTCTCAAACATTTCGCCAAAATGCACAAAATGAAAATAGTATGAATAGTAGTTTAAAACTTTGATTTGCTCTCTTTTGATACTTTACAAGGTTTTGCTATTTGAAAAGAACTTATCCCTGAGGTCTCCTTTCTAACATGGCAAACTTAAGGGAATTAATGTGTCCTTCTAAATTATTCTCTTGTGATTATCTATCATTCTAATTCTGTCTACTCACCTTTCTTAGGGAAACGATGGTGTTGTTGGGTGCTACCATGAGCCGACTTCCTCCATTGTTGTTATTAAAGCAGCATACAATGGGCACAAATCTGACGATCAAAGCGTCTTTTATAGCAGCGATGACCCCGTAAGCTCATCCTATTGTGTGCATTTTCCATATTTTTAAATAATTTTTGGCCATGGGCTCGCTCGAATTTTTAAAAATTCGTATGTAAGCCTATTTAAACTGGTTTTTGATTAATATTTTGAGATAACCTTCGTTTCGTATGAAAGTACATGCAGAAGAGATTCGTAGATCGATCTCACTAGAAGAGGACTGATGAATCACGTTGTACTGCAGCTGCTTGGAGCCGTATAGTCTCCTTTCCCTAGTGTTAACGTGAGACTTTCAGGAATGAGACCTAGTTGTGATGATGGACGAAAGTTCAGTCCGTTTTCATCCAAAACAAGGGAGGTCTCGTGGACTGGGTCAACTTGAATGTCGTATAATAGCCAAACGGATGCAGTACCACGGGATTCATCCGTCCTCTCCTGGTGTGATCAACCTACGAATCTCCTCTTTATGTACTTTCATACGAAATATAAGTCCCCCCAACAATATTATCTCAGTATATTCATCGAAACCCAGTTTCTCTTCGTATCTACAATGTACATAATGTTCGACTTCTTGTTATTTGTCTTCTCGCTACAATTTGTCCCGACAAGTTAATAGTTAGATTTTTAACAATCTGTATTTCTCATAATGTTGTTCCTATGTTTTGTTTACTCTGTAGACTTTTTAATATACAGACGTCCAAAAATAGGGAACTTGATCAGGTATCGTGTGGTTTGGTTAAAAATAGGCTTAAGGAAAACATTATTAAATTACACGGACTAATTAAAACCATAATCATTTCCAAAGTCGGACCGTGAACGTGGTACGTTCCCAGACGTTTCGCCGCCGCGTATATCCTGTTTTTATCTCTAATACCAAGTCTATGACTTCCCATGCACTAGTATCTCGTGTTCTAACCCACAAATGTTGTGGTACTGCTTACCTTAGGTTCAACGTTGAACCACAACGTTTTGGGGTTGGCACACATGACTCCTCTGGATATCCCATTCTAAGAAACATCTGGGCTCTTTTTTCCAGTTCATCTCTCCAGAACTCTTAATCGGTAAATCGTAGTATTCTTGTGACTATTTTCCTGACTATCTCAATCTTCATTCCATAATTATGGTTAGACTGGAAGCTAAGAATTATTTTTTTATGTGATTTCCTTCGGAATAGCTGTTTTGTAAGAATCTCTACTGAGCAATTTACATCCACTTCTATTGTAAATTTAACATTTCATCAATCTAATTTAAAAATATTAGGAACTCATAGCTCCGACACCAATTTTTGTTTATTTTAGGAATACCGTAAGCCATTATGGTCCTTAAAGGTTACAACGGGTGATTTCGCAACTTGAGTTGCGAGTCCACGATCATACTAAACGCCACACCGTCTTCGTCTTCATACCTTCTATTTGCTTTAAATAGAACAAGTATAGTAAGTACAGTTTTGCTATGGTGGCCTGCTTTTGATAGTTCGTTCTTGCGTAGGCTAACATCCATTGAATAAGCAGGTTTGTGTCTTGGTGCCATGACCTAAAGTATAATTTTCTGATCAGAAGTTGAACAATTTACAGACCTAAGAAAGTGGTGAGTATGTATATACTAAGCGTTATAGTTGTTGAATATGTTATCCTCAAGGTAGTGAATGGAATTAGAATCCTTTTCATCCGTTATCCATGAAGCTCTATGCTGGATTTTCTACCTGCTGTGAAAAGATCGAATTCCATTTACAGTCTTATCTGTTTTTGAAGCTTTTCATTTTGTATGTATCACTTCTTTTTTTTCTCTTACGAGAAGGTTTTATTTGATTGGTAACATTTATATATCGATCCGAAGCCCTGTGATACCGCATAAATTATGATAGGGATGCGCTCCAAATCCCTCTTAATTTTATAGTAGGGCCTGTCAGTCTTTCTGCTCCTATAGGCCCCTATATTTTAAAATTTTATCTTTTTTTTCGCTATTCGATAAACAGTTGTATTTTTCTGTCATTTTTCTGATTAACGACATTCCAGCCATCCACCCACATTATAATTTAAAGCATATTGGTAAATTTTATGATGGAGAAATCCCAATATATAAATATTCAGCATGTTATCTTAACTGCACACTTTCATCTAACGAAAAGACAATATGAAATAACAAAGGATTGAATTTGAAAACTTAACTTTAGGGTGAGGAAGAATCTTAGAATCAGTATTAGCACTATTCTTTTAACAGTTCTTATCAGCCCGGAAGCCACCTAAATCTAAGGCTTGACTAGGA